TGTTTGTGTATTTGATTGCAAGCGTCACTGAAAATTTATATCAGATCATTTTCAGATTTGATGTGCAGTATTGCATCGCAGTGAGAACTTCCAAAGAAGTGTTTTTTACTTATATAAAGATTCTATAAAAAGCAAAAAGTCCGGTCGTATTTCCAATTTAAATGCTCAAACCCTTCAAAATTGTCATCAAGTACTGAAAACCGGGTTGGTCAAGCAAAACTTCATTTTTGGTGATTCCTATGGTTACAGTATATCCAAATTTGAACCAAAACAATAGATTTAGACAGGATCATTAGGAATCAGCAAAATGTGTAACGAAAAAATTCCAAAGGTTGTCAAAAATTGGGTGTTTACTTCACCTTAAAGCATGTTGCACTGAAAAATTCATCATTTTGGACAGTGAAACATTCATCGCTATATCGAACCATAAATCAAGTGCAAGTGGTTTCTTTTGCATTGATAGCTTTAGAGCACTACTATATAAGGCTAGAGATGTCGACAAACCGAACTTTGATGAACTGGTGTTTGTATGGTGGGATCTTCTTTGGAAGGTGTTTTGGAGCCATTATTCGAAAATGTAGTGCTGAAACGTTAGGTTAAACCTCCATTACTTGAAATCGATAGAGTTCGTTGAAAACTATCTGATCAAAGACAAAATTGTGCTTTGCAAGCAGAAAAAAGTACAATAATGGCTCACTTCTTAAAAAATAGCATTTCCGTGAGAATAAGGACCATCTTTTGAACTTCACAAAAAGACACCAAATTAGTTATTTCTAGTCTGTTTTTGGATATATGTTATAGGTGAAGGTCCAAAATACTTAAAACGAGCAACAATTGGTTGGATGGATTGAGAGAAAGTTAAAAGAAATCGACAAATCAGTTGTACAGAACATAATTTTGATGGTTCGATACACACTGAGAAAAATCGAAGACAATGGTCCGTTCAGTGCAAAGTGAATGTGCTATTCGATAGCCTATGAATGAAGGTTTATACCAATAAAAACGAATTTAATATTGTGTGTTTGTTGTTCAAATGGCAACGTCTGAATTTAGTCCAAAGACTTTGTTTACATATGTTACATAGGACTTTGTCGGATGTTTGTCGTACTAGTACCTGATTCGTTGAGAAGACCATCAAACAATGTCAACTGACAAGTAGCAGCACTGTACAATTCCATGTACAATTCATTTGATACTATAATGATTGTCGTCTCCCTATACCATGTATTCACACTTGAATGTTACGCTATGGCAACCCTGAAAATGAGCGAAACTACACATAAATCCGGCCTCAAATTTGACCGTGAATTCGTGCCTGCTGATGGGAGAATTTGCATTATAAATTGTTTCTATAACAGCGCATATTATTATGAAAAAATATTTGAAATATTTTTTTTTAAAATCCAACAGTTACCTCTTCCGGATGTTATGCTTAAATGTTATAATATCTATCCATTTTCAAATGAATAATAAATAAAATTAAATAATGACATGTATTTAAATAATTAATGGCATATTTTACATTTTTGTTGCCAATTTTCGAGTATGGATCGGAAATTTGGAATCCACACTATGGCAATATGCGCAAGAGAATAGGGTCAATAAAAAAACAATTTTTACTTTTCGCCCTAAGGAGAATGAACTGGAAGAGACTACTGAAATACGAACAAAGACTGCTGTTTGATGATTACGTTTGAGGAAAGACGTAAGATGGTGCAATTGTCTTTTATTTTCAAAATTATTCATGAAGATATGAATCAACTCAGATATCAAACAGTTACTAATTACATAATACCCGTACAACATCATTTTGCGATATACCAATTAAAAAGAGTGATTACACAAAGTTTGAACCTAATAATTATATATATAAGCATATGCTTACAACATTCAATGATTATTATACCAAACAGTAATACTAATATAATTGATTTGGAGGTTAATTTATCTACGGTTAAGCTAAGAATGGAAAATTATTTAAAACAAAACAGATGAAATCGAAAACTATTACTCGAAATCATTATTACTGAAATCATTATTCCGTAAAATATCAGAATTATTACTTATGAATTTTTAATTTGAACAAAAATTTTAATTTTATAATCAAAGAAATTTATTTATCTTCCTCTCTCTCTAAATTGCAAAAAGAATCAAAGTAAGCAACAATTCGCGTATATGCATGTTCTCTTTTGGCGAATGTATTTGTAAACGAACGCCATCTATTACGTATTTCGTTGTAAGTTTCAACGAATACTATTTAGTCGCCATTGAATTGAATGTCATTTATTTCAATGAATATTTACGATATTATAAATTGACATTAACCTCAAAGTGAACTCACATTTGATATATTTTTTTATTTTCAAAAATAGGTACAAGAAATGGAAACAAATAATATAGAAGAATCAAGTTCTTCATCGTGTAATAAAAATAGAACAACCAAGGAGCAATTTGATATATGCCCGGGCCCAATTTGTATGATTGTGCTTGGAATGGCGGGAAGTGGTAAAACTTCATTTGTAAAACGACTAACACAATTAGGAAATTTACAAAATATGAAGCCCTATGTCATTAATTTGGATCCTGCGTGTCAAGAAGTACCATACCATGCCAATATTGGTGAATTTTGATTTTGATGATAAAAGTGTTAAAAATAATAGTTATTTTTTGCAGATATTCGTGATACTGTTAACTATAAAGAAGTAATGAAGCAATATAAATTAGGTCCGAATGGGGGAATTGTTACGACGCTCAATCTCTTTTCCACGAAATTTGGTCAGGTTATCGACCTGGTGAAGAAATCTGGAGCTAATCATAAATATTGTGTTATCGATACCCCAGGACAAATCGAAGTATTTACCTGGTCAGCATCTGGAACTATAATCACGGAAGCATTAGCTACAACATTCCCAACGGTCGTTATCTATGTAATGGATGTTCCACGATCGAAATGCCCAACTACATTTATGTCCAATATGCTGTATGCTTGTTCCATTTTATATAAAGCCAGATTGCCTTTCATCGTTGTCATGAACAAAGTATTATTGGTTCTTTTTTATGCACAATAAAAAGTAATTTAAAATTTCACACATGTATTTCAGATTGATATTGAAGATCATTTATTTGCTTTGGAGTGGATGCAAGATTTTGAAGCATTTCAAGAAGCTCTTGAATCTGAACAAACATATATAAGCAATTTAACTCGCACAATGTCGCTTACATTAGATGAATTTTACCGAGACTTGAAAAGCTGTGGAGTATCGGCAAAGACTGGTGCTGGCTTTGGAAAGTTATTTGATTTGGTTGAAGAAGGTGCTAAAGAATATTTAGCGTAAGTGAATACTAGCTTGTACGTACTATCTGTTTAACAGTTTATAGTATTTGATTAACTTTTAGAGACTATAAAGCCGAATATGAAAAACTGCGACATGGGAAATTAACTGAAGAAAGAAATACAGCTGCAAAGCATTTGGATGAAATTAAAAAAAGGATGAAATCTGGAAAAGAAATTCCGATGGCAAGCTTTATAACAGAAGTATCGACTGGTCGTGAGCTATCGGATATTTACTTGAAGCATCCAGCAAACGAAATGAGCTCAGAAGATGAATATGGTACCGAAGATATGGTGGCAAATGGAGACGAGGAAAAAGAAGAAGAAGGTTTCAACAAATTCATGGCTGAACAGATGGAAAAACAAAAGGAAAAAATTAAAATCTCTTCAGTGACACAGAATTTTTAGAAATATCTAAAAATATTTGATATGTACTTTATAATAACTAAATAATATAAACACATTCAAGGTTCGTTTTTACTTCTTCTGGTGTACTGTGCAGTATCATCATACGCAAGTATTAAAAAATTAGAGACAAACGAAGTGGAGCATCCTATTAATTTTTAAGCTGTCATACTGTTCAATGTTTCAAACTGTCAAAATGATCTAAATTGTTATCGTTTTGCGTTGAATTTACCGCCGCATTTCATTATTCCATAAATAAAACTTATAAAATTAAGATACACTTCATGTTGTTTTGACTATTAGCAAGTTGTTGTAAATTTGCGTTTTAGAAAATTATGGCTGAAAGTAAAATTATTAATCGAGTTAATCCACGAGCATCAGCAGTTGTGATAACCAAAAGCCCAAAACATGTTTCGACGAATCAAAGTGGAATTGAGCGCCTTAAAAATGAAGTAAACACATTTATATATATATTTTACTAATTCAGAATACATGCAACTTTGAATTTTGAATTATATGATTATTTAGGTGGTGAAAGCAATTGTCGCAAAGGAGCTTGACGTAAGCAATTTTTCTCAACACCAGCATCATCCAAAACCCAATGATAAAAATGCAATTGAATGGTCGTATTCCAATTCAAGTTAATAAAATAATTGTAAAAATTAATTATCAAAAAATTAATTTATTTAAAGGATTTTTCTAATTGATACACTGAATTTTTGTTTCTGGACACCTGGAAATGCAACAAAATGGAAAGTTTGTGGGGAAACGGGGTATTTCGCACTATGCGCAGCAATCAGGGTATACTTACTTTAAAAATTACTATTCCATTATTGAAGAATGCTATCCATTCTTTCGATTATTTTTCCATTACACCCATTACATCCATTTCAAAAAATCACAATATCAAAATCTATTTAGTATGTAAGAAAGTAGTAAGGGTTTGATCACACATATACACACATAAATTAAAAACAATTTGCAAATGAATTGAACGAAGCTGGGTTAGCAAACACTTTGCTGACAAAAATTGAGATTTGGGAGTAGTAGTAGTAGCAGAGCAGAGCAACGAAGGAATCATCATTGGATTGGACAACATGGCTCAGCACACGAACAACAGAGATAGCGAGCCAAAGAGAGGGAGAGATTACTTAGCACATTGTGGTGAGTAGATTTGAATACATATTATGTTTGGCCACTGCGTTGACATCACAAACACAAATCGCCTTCAACAATAAGCGATGCCACACCGTTTAGTTTAGTTTTGACGTTTGAAGCAACAGCACATTTCATAACTAAGTTTTTCAATTTTCATATTGTATACAAAAGTAATGCGCGCAGTAGCCGATTTTTGTGCATAATAAAAATTCATTTATTCTAAGAAAGTAGTGTGTTTGTACTTGGTACATTTTAAATTACAACACGAACTCAACCGAGACATTTTTCCAAGTGAAAATTTGAAAAGAAAAGTGACGAAATAAAAAACAAATTCATATAAATACCTCAATACCGGTAAATATTTGATGTGTAAAATATATTTATATATTGTATATAAAATGATGTCAAATGAATATTTGTCGGCTAAATAAATTTTGCGTCATTTGTTTTAGTGAGTCTTTTGAAAAAATAAAATCAAGAAAATGCACACTGCACGTGGATAAAAAGTCAATTTAACCGTAAATCTTAGCCGACGAAGCAAGTGTGCAAGTTCCATTGAACGAATTCATGTTCAAACATGAATTTAGCATTGCGCACAATACAGAATGCAAAACCGTTAGGCATTAGCAATGCGTCGTAGTTTTTCAATATTGTGCTTATGGCTTCTAATGCCTGCTTCGATACAATTGAATTTTTTTTTTCGATTTTTGTTGTAATTTTTTTTGCTTTCAATATTGATTCATTGTCAGGCCCAATATGTCCGACACATCAAGTGGTGACGACGATGATGGAGACGAGGAATGTGGGGTGGAGCGCGGAAATGTGGTAAGTACATTTGAATTTTTTTTACTTGTACAATTATTGTTGTCATTTTTTCAACAGCATATTTTATTGATGAGTACATTGTATGAATGCAATTTTTTTTATTTTTCCCCTGTCTCCATAGGTTTCAAACCTTGCGAACAATCAACCAGTTGTTCGTCTGGAAAGGATGAGCAATGATTTGTTACGGCAATGGAATGTGCCGCCGCCAAATGTCACACAACAAACACCGGCACGCCGTTCAAAACGTGTGCAAACTGTA